ATTTGCATATATTTTCAACTAATTTATCAACTGAGCAAAATCAATTTATTTTATTTATTTGCTTAATGATTTATTAAATTTATGTATTTTTCCATCAGTTTATCAAACAAAAACTCTCCTTCTCAGAAAACATTTAAATGTGATAAATTACATTGAAGTAATAAGGTTATGTAAGCATTAATTTATGCGAGTTATTATAATTAATATGATAAATTGATTTGAAGTAAACTATAAGGTGTCTAATTACTGCGTAAAACGAAGGACGACCCCAAAAATCGATTTAAAAAATTAATTCGGCACGATAGAGTTTGCTTGAAATTAAAAAAAGTGTCAAAAATTACTAATTTTCTCTCTTTTTTTTTTCGTAAAAAAAAAAANCCTAAAAAAAAAAAAAAAAAAGTCATTCTGTATGAGACATTTTATTTATTAATGTTTTTAAAGAACGAGTAAAAGAACTTAAGTGCCAACTCCTAGTGAACGAACTATATATGATGCACGTCTGAATTTAATTGGTAATTGCAAACGATTGGTAATTGCAAATTGCTTGGCGTTTGCAAACGAGGCTTTATGGTCTTATGGCTTTGACGAGAAGTACCCATAAAGGGTTTTACATTAATGAAACATTGTGATGGTGGAAAAATATTTAAAAACCTCTTTAATGTAGCACAGTTATTTGAAAACGTTGGAAAAAACTTCAGCCAGAGAACTTTCTTTTTAAAATTCAAAGATTTAAGGTAATCTTTCTTATAAACACGTTTAATTTAAAACTGTATTGAACGCGTTAAGTCTTTTAACTTGTTATAGAACAAGCATAAAACTAAAACATATTGATTGTTTTGGACTAAATATGCTGTTAAATCTAAATGCATTTTAATACAACCAAGTATATAATCTTTTTTAATTCTTTTTACACAGTTTTTGGAAACTTAAATGAAGTATAGGTGAATAATTTAATTAATATCAATAAAATATTCAGAACTAAAAGATTAAAACTCAATAAAATTAGAGAAGCTTAAATAGTATTGTTGAATCGTTTATTGGCGATTATTCCTTAAACACCGGAATGAAAAATACCGAAATATTTAGAAGATATAAATCAAATAATTTTAAATTTGTGGTCAGAGTCACTTTGAAGAATACTTACCATTAAACATTAAAGTCTAATGGTTTACAAAATTATTCAGAATTTATTGATTTTAAACAAAATCTGCGAAGTCAATTGATTTCTTCCGATGATTGACCGGAGTGCTACATGAAAAGGTCAATAGTTTGAAGTGTTGTTTCATCGCTTTAATACAAGACATCTTATTCAGAAGGTTAGTAAGTAAGTATTTATTCATCGTTGCTGTTCTATCTTTTACCTGTAGCTGTTGCCATCCAACATATAATAAAATATTTATAATCATCTCATTAATCGATTCATGAATCGATTAATAATAATACTACAAGTTAAATGTCGTTTCATTATTTTTAAATTTAAAAGTTGTTTTGTTAATTAGTTTTAGTGCGAAATACTTATATTTTTATACTTTAAAATAAGACAAATTTTTTGCCATTATTTTAATTTGTCAATAAATAAATTCACTAAATTAATGATTAGGTAAACCTAAATATTTAGTGACATCATGAAAAGAACATTAAACTAAGTTCATTTGAAGTATTAAATTTAAAAGTAAATAAAAATTTGTTCACTAATCTAAATAGAGTTTATTTTATCTTTTGAGGGGGAGAAGTTATCAGACAATACCAACCGTTATCTATCAAAATGGATACCTCGTGGTAAAATCAAGTTAGCATGCTTTATATACTAGTGAATTATGTTAAACTTTTGTAGTGGTAGTTACGCTGCATTTTTTTTCTGAATTTGAGAGTATTTTTTTCCTGTTTACGATTTAAAAAAATATAAAATAAAAAAAAAACATTTAACTAAGCGATTTGTGAAATCTCAGTGTGTGGAAAATGGTAATTTTCCACACAATGATATTTATTAGAGAAAATTAATCAAGCAGAAATCAAGAGAGAAAATTAATCAAGCATTATTATAAAAACGCTATTTAACAACACTCAAAAACTGTGTAGTACTAAAAATATTTATCGACTTGATGTGCATAATTTTTGTTTTATTTATTTCACAATCATTCATTGGGAAATTTTAAATCTTGCAAACTTTGCTTTTAAATGAAATATTAAATACTTACAATAAATTAAAAGAATTTATAGAAAATTAAAGTCAAAAATAAATTAAAAAAATATGCCTTTCACTTTAAATAAAAGCTATCCATACAATTGAAATTTTTGCCTTTATGAATTTGACGAAAGTTTGGTGTGGCATTATACTAATTTAATAATTATTAAATATTACGATAAGAAAATTGATCGTTTTCATGAATAGCTTACATAACTCAGAAATAAAGATTTTTGTAAGGAAATTTCTACTTAAAAATAAATTTTAGGATTTACTTCTGATTAAACATAAGCCATAGTGCCTTTGAAAATAAGCATTTCAGTTCAAAACAGCATATCTAGTTAACTTTTTTTTCTCGGAATTAGATAATTTATTTATTTAAAAATCAAATATACATAATATAAATGAGTATGATACATTTCAAAGTAATTAAAAAATGAGATCTCTTAACAGTTTAAAATTAATATTATCAGTTTAAATTTAACTTGAATATTTAAAAGTAAAAATAAATGGGATAAAACTTACGATTTCTTCAGAAATTTCGCCATTGCTTAAGAAGTTTTTTTAAATCACGAATTTTATTAATCATACAAGTACAAAATCTCAAGAGAAAATTATTTTTAATTTTTCGAACTCGGTGACGTCATCAGATCATGCGATGACGTAACACTGATTAACTTTGCTTTGTTGAAATTATTAATTTTCGTTGGTTTAAAAGTATATTTTTTAAGAGCATTGATTAAAAAGTTTTCATCTTCGAGTCAAAAATTACAGTATACATTTTTTTTTTTACTGAACTTATTTTCCTTAAAAACTAAGATATTTATATAACACATAGGGTTTCTATTCAAATTTTATAAAAAATTATAAACTTAGTTTATTTATAATTTTTTACATATATTTCAAGACTAATTTTTAAATATTTAGTCTAAATATTTTGTAGTTTTAATATTTTTTATTTTAAGACTGAAATTTTTTATACATCTTTTTTTAAAAATAAGAGTTTGTCTTTTATTTTCGTCAGAATTTATTGCTTAATTTGTAAACTAGGCCAAAATGTAATACTTACATAATTCATAACATATTATCATGGCTCTAAGAATGATCAATTTTGCTCTGTTGCCAAATATAATATTGTGCATCAAAGTCAGGAAAATTAAAATTGGAATAAAAATTAAATGCATTAGAACCTCAATTATCCGCGGAATTAGGAGGTAAGCCGTAACCTCCGAGAAAGAAGGAGTTTCCAGCAAGGGCACCGCGGATAACAAAAACCACGGATAATCGGAAACAAAAAAACTCAAAAAGTAAGGTCGAATCACGAAAAATTTTCATTCGTGTGTGTATATTTTAAACCTTGGGCAAAGAATACCTGGATAGTCTATCCTTGTTTGCCATGTTTTAAACACACAACAGTTATCTTTGCTCTATGCCTGAATCACTGAAACAACGAAAGGTGAAGAAAAAATTGGTTAATTCTCAATTCTCAAAAAAGAAAAAAAAAGAATCACTGATAACATGCAGTTTTTAAGTTTCGATCTCTACGTGGAACTCGTAGATAATCGTTGCTCACTAAATACCCCCAGACAGGTATGGTATGATATGATGCAAGAATTTTAACAAATTTAAACACATTTTGATTACCCCAAAAACTCAACAAAAAAAAGCATTTTTAAACTATGTATAATTTGAAGAAAAAAAATTATATGCTAACCAGTTGTAATCCTCAAATAATATAATAATTTTGAAAATCATGGAAGTTAATTAAAATAATTAAATTAAACTAAATAGACATAAAGGTATAACAAATTAAAATAAATTCAAAAAGTATGAATTATTTTGTCAAACTAAACAGTTAGTAAAACATCTTTCAATGCCCAAGTACCTAAACTTTTCGTTGGAACGTAAAGAAATAGATTTCGGTTGCCTTCTTTAAGTTTTCTTGTTGATAAACTATTCAAATTATTGGTGACTGCATGATAATAAATCCCTATTTGTAGGGGGGGAAATGCACACTTTATATATTAGAATATATTTATTTTAAAAAATATATAAGGCAATGTTGTTTATTCTTTAAACCCAATTTATGCAAAGTAAGATTCTCAAGGGCCCCTTGAGTGCCTGGGGCCCCCTGGCTCTGCCCAGGTGTGCCCATGCGTAAAGACAGTACTGCCCCTAGATAGACAATATATAAAGGGAAAATGAGTTACACAAAAGAATAATTTGCACGGATAGCTTCTTTGTTTTATTCGAGTATCATTCATCTATTTTCATTAAAAAAAATAATAAAAAAAAAATGAATGAAAATAATTGCATTAATTTGTTTGTTGACACTTTCGAAATTTTATTTTCTCAGTTTAATTTCTTAATTAAATCATTTCAATAGAGTTTAATTTGATCAAAAAATAAATAGTTCGATAAATAATTTCTCAAGCAAACGATTTTATAAATGGCATACTTTTAATAGATCATAATACTCATAAATAATCATATTCATAAATAATTGAAAATTAAAACCAGTTCTTATTGAAGTTTAAAAATCAATTATTTCTAGTAAAATCATACATTATGAATGGGGAACTGACAATCAAAGTTTTAGGATATTTAAAGAATAAATCGTTTTATGATGATAATTTTCATTAAAAAAAATTTTTTGTTAAGCTCGGTAAAGTTTATCCATAATTTAACATAATGGGAAGTAACAGTAAATATTCTAAGCATTAAAATTTACAATAAAACAATTTTGTAACAACAAAAATATTGAATTTACACACTACGTTAACAAAAAATTCTTATCTTTGTTGCAATAAAAAATAATTCTTCACTGAATGACTTATTAAAAATATTCGAGAATATTCTCAAATTTGATTCACGACAGGGATTCTAATATTATGGAACATAATTCTTTACTCTTGATTAATCGATATTTCTTATATAGTTTGGCAACAGCTTTACAGTAACCATAGCAACTAAGTTAGAATTTAATCCAGTCTGACAAGAGTTTGTACCACTAAAACATTGCTTGGAATAATGGACGAAGATTTCGTAGACAAATTAAAACTTACATCAGATGAAGCTACAAAGTTAAAAAATGCTTTTCAGAATAAAGACTTCGTGAAGCTTTTTCAAGAATACGCTGAAAATGTCACCAATCCGGATTCACGCAAACAGTACGAAAGTGAAATTATTTCAATGGAAAAAGAGAGAGGATTTAAAGTTAAGTTCATACATCCTTCCCCTTTATACGTTATGAAGTATATTGTGAACGGGGAAAAATTGTTTATTAATGTCTGTGAGAATGAGCACGTACGAGAAGCAAACTTTGAAAGAAAAATTTCAGGTAAGCTAAAAATAAAACAAGTAATATTAAAAAAAAATTAAAGTCAATTCCTACTTAAGTCAACAGAGAAAACTTTTATTTTAGTTACTTTTTATTAAAAAATTACAGTTTTTTCTCCTATATAACTAAACTAAACTAAAATTAATTGATTGAATTCAATTAATGAATTAATATTTGAAAAAAACTTGAATTTATCTGACACAGCGAATATAAAATAATTAAATGTGCGCAATAAACTTTTTTTGTTCAAATAGAGCTATAAGTTAGAAACGATCACTGATGTTAATTTTAAAATATGTAAAACACTGAATCGCGTATAGTAAAATTTAAAACAATGACTAACGCTTAACCAATCAGAAAAATCCATTTCGTTTCTCGCTCATCCATATTTAATTAATATTTGCAAAAACTGTATTAACATCAAGTGTCATTCACTACAAGTTTAGAAAAATGTATTTGAGCTTGCGTTTATGAATAAAAAGTATTACATTAATGATTGAAAATTTAAACAAGATTGTAGGGTGAGTGGGAATTAATAGATAGGGATTGGATAATACAATGCAGCCTGTTACTTTATTGTGCTCATCAAAATGAGAGAGTTCCTTGACTTGGAGTGTTTGGTTCGATTCGATCGGTTTTAACATTAGAGTGAAAGCATTCAATTTTGTTGGTAACAAACAAAACTTTTAATCTTGGCACAAAATATTTCCTAACACTGCGCCAACTCTATTTTATGAACTGTAACTTTTTCAACAGAACAAAAAACTATATGAAATATAAATTTATAAATTGAGAATCTGATTGGGAGCCACTCATAAATAAAGTTACATTTTTTTTCCTTTAATATTTTTGGACCATCTTCTTATTAGATCCTCCCTCCTCCTTGTCTCAATTTCAACTGCCCCTTCCAAGCAGGACATCATTTTTGGACGACCCCTTTATTTATTTTTGGCAGAACGGTCAAACCAACCAAATCCAGTAAAAATCCCAGATAGCAAAATAAGGTTCATTTTAACTCAGCAAAAACCTTTTGATGTAAACCTAAAAAGGTTTGTTAAGCGGTTTACGTGTAAACCTTATAACGAGATCTGTGACAATCGAAATTTTAATATTTGGCAAATGAAATCTCACACGAAAAATATGGCAGTTTGATTTAAAAACACAACATTTTATAAGATAAAACTTACTCGCCAGCCATTAGTATTCGGTCGCCAATGGCGAGAGGAAATTTCGCGTCCTGATTTGAAATAAAAGAATTATTATTAAATAAAAGTTAATACGACCAAGGAGCTATGAACTGAATTATTCGATAAATCAGCAGTCAAACAATTGGGTTCTTGCACTTCGAGAAAATCACAGATGATACCCACAAACCCACACATGTGACGCGTGACGTCAGCCGTAATAAGCAAAATGGCGTGTTAAAGTTCAGCTAAGTTTCTCCACATAAGACAGAATGATAATTAAAGTGACGTTAATATACTACACCCTTAACAAAGGCAAATATGAGTCCAACCAATCAATGTGCTCACTCACTGCGATAATTTTAAAGATATGAGGTAGTGCAGCAATTCGGTATGGTGCAAAGACATACAGAGATTAAAGCACAAATATCGTGACTTGTATGCAATACTGACGAAGCCCTGTTCAGCCTAAACATCACTTCTCGAAACACTTTCACATAAAAGAACTATGGACTAGCTGCCTGCAAAAATATTAATAAAAGTGTGATGGTCTGGACAGAAATTGTGTTGGACGACCGTATATCCCTCAGTGTTTCTTAAAGAGACTCCTCGAACTGATGTGAGATATAGGAGCCCATGTGTGCTGCCTCAGGGAAGTATGGTAGCCATATTTTCATTTTAATTAACAAAAACGTGTGCTTATATAGATCTCATTTAGGGGACATATCCATTGCATTGATTAGCCACTCAGATTTCCACACTTAAACCCTACAGAACGTGCAAAAGACACACTCTTGAGACATAATTGCAACGTCTTTCGATAACCAAAGATCACGTTTCTCGCTCATTGGAAACTAAAGAGACATTTTTGTCCACCCTTCTATAAATTGGTGGTACTTTTTAAAGTAAAATTCCCAAAATATGAAACTAATATTGTAACCTTTTACTTATATTCATTATGATTTATGTGAAGATTGGGCTGGCTCCCTTTTTAGACCACTTTCGTAGTTGTTAAAAGCATGTATTCCCTGCTGAGTGTTAATTATAGTTTATGAAGAAATTAAAAAATTGCTATCTTGAACGCAAGTTAATTCACGTTTAAACGAAATAGTACACATTTTTAAGTTTTCTTCAAATTTTTCAATATAAATAAATTATGGATATCTGAAATACGTTAAAAATGTTTTCACGGTGCGTAGCCAAATTTTTCAACAAAAAATAAGCACCCTTTAAGCACTTTACAAGCACTCAAAAAATATTTTTAAGGACTTTGAAAAATTATCATAATTAGACAGGGTTGGCAAGTTTTTGACAATTGATGGCTTTATTTGCTTACCAACGATGAAATTAACAAGAGAAATGAAATTTTCTAACGCTAATAGAGAAAAAAAATTGACAATGTTTACTTGGTCCCAGTAATTAGCAAAAATTCGAGAGATTTTTCGATTCCATTACATTGGGCTAAAAATGAAATCTGAAATTTAGAATCTCTTGCAAAATGCAGAGTTGCACATGCGAGACAAAAATCTTTACCACTGAATCCAGCTCAGTATACGTAAGTGCGGGCCCGCAAGTATTTCATCAAACATGCACAACAAATGGTGTTTTCATACACTACAAACCGACGGTACGCCGAAGTAGATTGGGGTTGAATAAATTGTGAAAACGTTGCATAGGAAAATATCTTTTTGCATAATTTGTGGCGGAAATCAACATGGTAAAGAAAAATATCACATTTCGGAAAAGGAAAATTAAGTACTTTTTAAAAACACACATGGAAAAAAGCACCTTTAAGGGCTCTTAAAAAACGAAAATAAGCACATTTAAGCACTTTTTAAAAACGCTACGCACCCTGTTTAACTTGAAAGTCAATCCGCTTCAGCTAAACACTTTATCACTGAAGAATAAATAGCAAAAAAAAGTCAATACAATTAGCCGAAAATTTTTATTTACAAAATTTAGAATTTCAATGGTTATGAACCATGTAAAAGCAATAGTTTAGCTCTAATACAGAACAATTAAATCAAAGTATTTAAAAAGTCTTTCAGTTCGAGCTAACTCGTCGCAACACTCATTTTCAAAATAATTTTGGGAAACTTTTTCAGGAACAACAACCAGAAAGGCAGTTTTTAAATGTTCTCTCAGGTTGTAATGCTTGGTAGAAAACGCTTCCGTTTTTTGATGCAAATCGAGGTGCAGAGTAAATTTCCGCAGATCTTCAAGCCATAATAATTTTAGTCCTTGCAGTGACTCTCAAAAGTCCAGAGTGCATCTGCTTACATGTCACTGTTTTTAAGCCATTATGATGTATTTTCACTTTTCACCACCGGGAAATGTGGATTTTTTAGTCCTTTACCACCGGGAAATGTGGATTTTTTAGTCTTTTACCACCAGGAAATGTGGATTTTTTTGTCCTTTACCACCGGGAAATGTGGAATTTTTAGTCCTTTACCACCGGGAAATGTGGATTTTTTAGTCCTTTACCACTGGGAAATGTGGATTTTTAAGTCCTTTACCACCGGGAAATGTGGATTTTTTAGTGCTTGCAGTGACTCTCAAAAGTTCAGAGTGCAACTGCTTACATGTCATTGTTCTTAAGTCATTACTCACAAAGAAGTTTAAATTTCACCCATATCAGTTGGGAACCACTCAGAATCCATCGACGTCCATATCAACCAAGCCTCCTCTTCTTCATAATTACTTTTACAACAGCAACAAAAATATCCGAAAAAACGACGAACTCGTTCAAACACTCTCATGATTAAAAATTTGCAAAATTTCTTAAAATAAGATGTATTTCTCTCTTCAAAGATAACTTTACAAATGACATTCAACACTAAAGTTGTAATAATTACTCTTTGAAACAATATAATTGAGTGCATTGTTGAAAGAAGAATTATACATTATTAATGAACGTGTGTTATCATTTATATATGTTTTAAAAAAGTATTGTTACAAATCATAAATAAAACAATTCAAAAAAGTTGCTACCGCAAAGACCATTTTTAAAAACAGAATACTATTAAAAGTATTGTTTTCAGATATATTAACGTTTTAAATTTTTCACATGAAGTAAAAATAGTGATTTCAAAAATATATTGCCTCATGAAGTTAACGCATACTTGTTTGCAACTGTCTAAAATACTAAATTTTATAATTATTTAATTTTAATATAAACACAAGAATCATGGAAAAAAATATCTATTTATTAGATATTTATATTACCTATGTATTAGATATAATCTCCTTTAATTAAAACAATGTTTAGAAATTAATTTAACTGCATATCGCTATTATTACATTTTCTCTTACAGGGTGCGTTGCCATTGCCAAATCTTTCAACAAAAAATAAGCACCTTTCAAGCACTATGTACATTAACAAAATGCAAAATAATTTTCAAACTTTACATGATCACGATAAAATAACTAGTTTTCGACAAATAACTCTTTCTTGTTTATATTAGCCACCATAAAAAGATCAAGAGATATTTTCGATTTCAGAGGGTGGAAAATGAATAACGCCTGAAATTGAGAATATCTTGCAAAATGCAGCAGAGCTGTTGCACATGAGAGTGTAAGAACCTCACCGAACCCAGCTCAGTAGACGCACATGTGGACTCGCAAGTATTACATCAAACATGTAAAATAAGAAGCGCTTTCATACGCTACGGACCGACGGTACGCTGAAATGGATTGTGGTTGAATGAATTGCATAAACATTGAATAGTTCGTGCTTTTTGCATAATATGTGACGAAAATCGACATACTAAAAAAAGGGAAAATTAAACACTTTTTAGAAACACCCAATGAAAAAAGTAACTTTAAGGGCTTTTAAAAAAAATCTAAAAAAAGCACCTTTAAGAACTTTTTTAAAAACGCTACGCACCATGGCTTTAAATATTTCTAATAATATTTAAAACCTTGTTTATTCCGCGTTATTTGGCCATATAAACAATGATAGTTTACTTTATTCCTTAAAGCGCTTCTCTCCCCTGCGTAATTTTATTAAGCATCATTAAAATTAAAATAAAGTTTATAAATGCAACTTGCTTATATTAGTGAGCATAATTTAAAGAAAAATATTGCACTATTTGTTTATATGAATCGCTTTTAACCTTTCATTTCTGCTCAACTTAAACCTCAGTTTGTTTCAGCTTTTAGTTTCCAACACAAGAAATGTGATCAATTGGGGGCGGGGCAAACTGCAGCTCTTTGAAGGACTCTCGATAAATGTACCCGAGTTCCCTTTTCATTTTTGTGCAATTATATTTTAAAAAATTATTATCGTTCCGTACGTGTTTCAAAATTACTTTTAAATTACTGACAACAAATATGAAAGACTAAGTGCAACATTGTAACAAATTTCATTTCCGTCCAAGTTAAGAATGATATGACTCATCGAAACTGCGCGAACGAGCATGAACAGTGGCGTAATCGATCTACCAATAATTTATTCTTTTTTTTCTAAGAGAAAGTAAAATCCGCAATATATTTCAGTTTTCCATTTCCAATATAATTATGACCCAAAAAGCATCTGGAGAATTAGAATTAATAGAGATGCAAGAAGATCAAGCTCTACAATTAAAGTATAAGTCGATTTCTGAATTTTGGAAATTTGAACCAGAATCGAAGTATCCTAAATTCAAAAAGGCTGCTTGTCGAATTATTTCAATATTCGGAACAACGTACTTATGTGAATCATTTTATTCCACTTTAAAATTCGTGAAATCCAAACACCGATCAGTATTAACTAGCCAGCATCTCAAAGAATTACTGAGAAGTGCTGTCACCAATTATTCACCGAATTTTAAAGAATTATCAAGAGAAGTAAAATAAATGTGTTTAATTTTTAAATTCAACACACATATTTTGTACTTTTATTTATATGTTTTCAATAAATATAATTTCTGTAAAAAAAAAAAAATTTAATACCTTTTAAATAATTTTTTTAATTGCGGCTCGCGAAAAATTTCAAATTTTGAAAAATGGCTCGACTATTAAGGAGCTTGGCCACCCCTGGTACATAACATAGACATGATTTTCTCTATAATACTTCTTAAATTTTTAATGTACCCAAGAATCAAATCACAATTTATTATTTAAAAATACACCGTTAGCCTTATTCGATATTCTTTTTTGCTTTCACTTTTTTTCTTAAAGACAACATTTTCCTTATTGTTTACATAATTTCATAAACTTTGTCTCTAAAAGTTCAAATATTTTAACAGGTACAGAGTGTCAAATACCAGTTATACTTTCTAAACCCAGACAAGACTATGACAACAAAAAGGAAAAGTGCACAGTCATTGATGTCATGTTCCATCCCGAAACAATGCAACTAGCAGAGAAAAATCCACGCTTCAAACGAGCAGTGGAAGACACAGCACGGACGACAATTGCTAACCAATTTGGATTTGCCGGGCTTACAAATGGAAAATATCCCAAACTGAAATATAAAGGCGTCCCTCCTTCGTTGATTCTACGACAGAATGCAAAAGGTCTTGCTTGTGAGTGCGAGTCTCTAAAAGATTATTGCAAAAGACTTACAATAGATGGCAAAAATGTTGAAGCGAAACTGATGAAAAAAGGAACGAAAGTTGAAGCAAAATTGACTACGGATGCAAAGGAAGTTGAAGCGAAATTGACTAAGGATGTTGATGCAAAATTGACTAAGGATGCAAATGAAGTTGATGCAAAATTGACTGAAGGTGGAAAGAAAGTTGTAGACAGTTACATTTCCTCAATAGACTCTACTCCGAAACAACCGCAGTATTCTGTTAAATACAGAGACGTAATAGACATGAAAGACTATTCTGTTATGGGGTACACTGATTTAACTGCTCCAAAAGCAATAATACTCGATGTTCACTTACCTGGTGTAGAGGGCGCATCTGAAATTGACGTTGCTGTGCTTGAAAAGAAGTTTAAATTGAAAAGCAAGTCGGAGAAAAACCATAGCTATTCTCTGGAAGTAGACTTTAGCTATATTGTTAATAAAGACTCGGGCACCGCAAAATTTGCAAAAGCAACGAAAATTTTGACAGTAACATTACCTGTGAGAGAAAGAGGCATACCAGTTCTCAACAAATAATAATAAAAATTAATAAACCGCTTAGATGATTTACAATTGGAAAAATTATTTGACTTTCAAATGAATCCAAAGTCTTAAGGACCTCAATACCATTAAATATTAGAGTACATCTTTTATTTCTGACCAAGCGGCCCATTCCCTGTTTGTTCTGTTCATAACTGATCTTAGTATTCAAAATTTACTTGTTTATCTAATGAAAAACAAGTAAATTTGCTTTAAAATATATTCATCAAGACAAGAACATTTTGTGAATAAATATTTTAAAGTTTATTTCAAATTCCAACTTTTGTGTGCAATGTAGTACATATTTCATGCATCTCATCTTTTATGTAATTTCAAACCCATTTTCAATGACTTCTATTTTTTATTTCTTGGGGCGGCATCTAATCAAAGAGTTTCACCCAGGTATTCTCACAAACCACAGTCTTTATGTTAAGAAAAATACCTATTTGACAAGCTATATGCTATCCCATACCGCAATCAAAAAACCAACAAAGATGACTTAAAAAAAAAAAAGCAACTATGGAAATACCACAATAAAACCTAAAATGAGTATATAAAGCTTCACTATTACATAAAGGCAAAACTAAACCACTATTAAATTAATGATTGAAAAGAAAGTTATAAAAAAAGGCAGCTAAAGACCACTTTATTTCTACCTCATAAAGAGGGGGAGGAGACACCCTCCGTCCCCCATTTAATATATTTTCGTTAATTTTTGAAATATAACAGAAAAATACTCAATATTTCTTTTTCTGTATTCAGAACATTTAAATAGAGAAAAAAAAAATTTATTATTAAATTTATATGTCGTTTGAATAGTTGGTTTAGAATAAATTAAAGAAATTGTTTGTGAAAACTTCTGATGCCAACGCGTAAAATTAATTTTCAGAAAAAAATAATGATTTTTGAAAAATTTGAATGATTATTTTTTCCTTTCTGCTGATGTCTTTAAACACTTTCTCTTTTCAATTATATTTTTAGATCACTTTCAGTAATTTACAATATAGCATACTAATGATACATTTGAGTTAATCAGCATAGTAACAGTGTCATGATGGGATATGATTAATCCGTTTATTTTATTAGAAATTATTAGCAAGAGAAATTTTATTTGAAACGAATTGGGAAATATGATTGTAACATACTTATTATAAGATATTTATTATCTTCCCTTATGCATTCTATTTAAATTCTTACTTTTTAATCAGAATCTGGCGGCAGATTCCCTACTTAATTTGTTATTCTACTTTACGTCTGACAATATTTTTCATAAACTTATTTTACTTGAAAACTTTAAATGTCAGAAGATCTATAATTGTACTAGCAATAACCACATCCCAAAACAATTAAAGGATATTGAGGTTGGGGGTTAACATCTGGAGAATTGTTCGAATGATTGATATATTATCCACACATGTAGTAGGCTATACAAGATAAAAATAACATTTGTTCAGTAGAGGGAGGGGAAGCGTTTTGGAGCATTTGGGTACAAAAGGAAAAAAACACAAATTGTGCATATGATTGACAAATGATTCAATCTTTTTTAAATCACAAAAAACTGAAACTTTTTGTTATCCAAGTACTTCGTTGAAGCACTTTTCACATAGTAAATGAAAAATTTAAAACTAATTGTACTACTTCAAATTATTTTTTTCAGTAGGCTGGGCCCATGTCCGAGAGTTCGAACCCCGCCGGCCGAAGACTCTTGTAGTAAAGTGACTAATGCACGTTAAATCTGTTGAGTCCCAAAAAATCCTCCATGTTCCCATAACAAATCAAAACCTCTGGGGGTACTGGATTGGAGATCGATCGTTCTTTGATTCAGGTCAAAATTACGATCTGTGGATGAATGAATGGGTCCGCCCTATAAACGGGTGTGACGTATGGTGTGGCAGAAGTCGAATTCTTGGCCATAGATGGCGCCACTGAAAAACAAGAAACGCATACTCTGCATTAAATTTGCTCCGTTTTACCAAGCAGGCTTGACCGTGTGGCAAGTTGCATGAGAAACAACAACAACATCTTTTTCAGTTAAAAATAGAGAGAGAAAGAGAAGCTAGATGATTTTAAAAATTTTGTCAAAAAATTTATTTTAAAAAAATGAAAACCCAAAATTGTTCGCCCTTTCCTTAAAATACATAAAAATTTCCTGAACTAACTAAAATAAGAGAAAATACAAATGATACTGAGATCATTGACGCTTAAAGGGTTAAAACACTACCAAGTTGCTTACTCGGTAAAGTTTAAAGAAATAATTCTTTCAAATTTCCTTTCTTCATTAAACACTTCTCTTATTTTTAAACTACTAATATTCCTTTAATTTACAGTCAAAAATTTCTTTTAAACATCTACTAAAAACATAGAAGTATTAGATACATAAAAACAAACTATTAAAATATAAAAAGAGATTTTATGCCTATAATTTTAATCAAGGCTGAAGATTAAATTTTTTTTGCGAAGGATAGAATTTTTATTATTTAATGACAAAACGACTTTATAATTTTCTTATACAAAACTAGCTCTTCATTCCCCTGTTATAACATATATTTACATGGAAGTATTTGTTAAAAAAAATTTTGTGTTTCAGTTTCAGAATTCCCTCATTATTATTCTTTAAATTTACATTAGGGAAAATTACCTTTCACAATAATAATTCAACAACAATAATATAATTCAACTTAACTACAATAACTTCCCTGGATCGGGATTTCTAATAATATAATTCAACAACAATATAATTTTCTAAGCAAAAAACGTCATTATAAATTTCTTTTTTAATAATAATGTATTTTCATAATAATATATTTAATAGTAACTATGAATTTTTCCAAATTTCATAAATGAATTTTTGCAGTATATATAGAATTATAGTTAATACTTATTAAATTTAAAAATTTTAGATTGTCATTTATTCATAATAATTATTTTAATTGCACAAATAATAATTTTGTATTGCTTTTATTTAAAAGACAAATATCAATTTACAAAGTTTGTTTTTTAAATTTTTATTCATATTAGATTTATAAAAAAAAATACCTCTCAAAAAACAGGTAAGGTCAATATATTAAAGAAAGCAAGTATTATTTGAAACACAGAATTCAAATTTTCTGTCAAATAAAAATTTTATTTTTCAAAAGTAAGAAGAAACATGAAGCACTGTTCTACTGTTGTTGGCTCACATATAAAAATCCCCATTCCCAAAATTGTATAGCAGGTGCAGTAAATGAGTAAAACCAATCACCCCCTTAAAAATCAAGTTTTGAGTTATCTTTAGAAGTCCCCTTCTACAAGAGCGTATTATTCCATCATTGGAATGTCGTTATTGCTGAGACATATGGCTGAACCAATTATTTCTTTCATCTCAATCTTTCTCACTAGCTAATACAAGATAATTTAACAAATCAGTTAGGATTAAAAATTTTTAAAAAACTAAATGTAATAAACTAAAACTTCAGGGGCCCAATTGGGCCTCGGTCGGCTCACTAGGCTACTGTAGGGGTGAAAAAGTTTCTTCCAAGTCCGACTACTTATATTTCTTTTCTATGAGTTGAAAGTCAAACCAGTGTTTGCTTACAATCACGTTGACCAAAGAGGGAAATCGTGATGTCAACAACTGATAAGCGTGGACAGCACATGTCATCATCTGAAAGGCGGGAAAGTCATTATCTCGCACTTATACACGCCAGAAGTTAAAATACATAAATGAGGGGAATAGGACGGTTTGCGCAAGTTTCCAATACTTTTCAAGGTCATTTTGAATTTTTCAAGGATTTAACATTATTTTCAAGTACTTCTAGGGGCCCTTGAAAATCAAAATGATATCCAAGTACTTTTAAAGGCCTCTGGAACCTGAGTGTACTTAAGATAACACAATGTTTTTTTTATAAAAATATTTTTTAAGACCATTACATAAGCCAAAGGTCAGCGCAAGTAAATAATTAGGAATATATTATAGCTAAGAGGAATATTGTGGATCATTGGGAACAAAATTTGTCACAATAAAAAGAAAAAAAACACTCATTTAAGCAAATACATTCAAAATTTATTTGCAAATAATTAAAAAATTTATTTGCCAAATTGAAACACTTTTCCAATTTGATAAGCACAATACCAATTTGTACAAATTTAGCTAGCTAGCTGGTTTACTTTTTAAATACAGATTATATTACAAGACAAGAACAGTTTTGCCATTTTAAATTTAGAATTTAATAGCTTTTCCATTTTAAATTTAGAAAGCATATGTTAATAAATAACTCCATTAAAGAACTTCAAACAATCATTTACTTAATTTTAACTAATAATAATTGGAAGAAAAAAACAACAGCATCCATATATAGTGTAGCAATCTGTAAAACAAATGGGCATCACATTTCAACAAGTGCAAAACACACTTTGAGTTACACAATGAGCCATATAAAAACAAGGGTGAAAAAAATTAGGTTATGAAAATAAAAAGTTTTTGTACTAGGATTCTGTTTTTACGAGAACACTAGACGATGCTTGCGGGGGTTCCTCTTTACTGGAATCAGATATGGGGGGATCTTTTCTGATCTGTATGTTATACTTCTCTTTAAATTCATTAATTTCTTTGCCCTTTACTTCAATCTGTTTGTTTAAAACCTCCAAAACTTTTGATAGCTGAAATGAAAAGGAGAACAATTAAATGGGATTTTGTACAAGTTTACAGGATGTGTAGACAAATATCTCAACAAAAAATAAGCAAAAGTTGTTTTTAAACACTATCATAACTGCCAAAGGATAGGAGATAATAGGAAAAAATCCAGTAGATTTTATGAAGTGATATAAATTTCCTGATAATTGTTACATAAAGTACTGAATATTTTATGAACAGGGAATTTTGGAGATTTTTATAGTCATCAAAATAGAAAAACTGCAATATTTTCCAGTTATGATTGACACTAAACATACTTGAACTGTTACTGTATATTATGTTTACTCAAAAAAAAATAAATAAGCATATAATTCATCAAAGATAGTTAAAAGATTTTTTTAATTAATTTAAAAAAGGAGTTCTGAATAAAAAAAAAATGAACAGTGAACATTTTAGAACAAAAAAAGTTTTGAACTAATTTCCATAAATGAGGTTCGTTTCATTATGTATTAGTAATACTTATTTAAATATTCAAGCAATGATCTGTACAAAAATTCTACTTCAATAGCAATTTTTTTAGGAAACTTACTCAATTTTAGGGAATTTTCTAAAATGTACAAAAATCAGGAGAATTTTTAATTAAACCAGTAGACCAGGAGAAACTAACAAAATTCAGTACAGTTGGCAGCTATACACTATATACATAAACAAAATGCAAAATAATTCTCAAAGACTTTGCACGATCATGATAAAATAACTAGTTTCTGCAAAGAACTCTTTTCTTGATTATATTAGCCACCGTAAAATCATCAAGAGATTTTTCGATTCAATGCTAGAGGATGGTAAATGAAGCCTGAAATTAAGAATATCTTGCAAAATGCAGCAGAGTTGCACATGAGAGTGCAAGAATTTCACAGAATCCAGCTCAGTAGATGCACATGCGGACTCCCAAGTATTTATTATCAAATATGTAACATGATTGGCACTATCATACATTACAGACCGGCAGTACGTTGAAATGGATAGTGAAAACCAGGTTTTTTTATAATACATAGTGAAAATTGACTTGGCAAAGAAAAAAATCTTATTTTGTGAAAAAAAGGAAAATTAAGCACTTTTAAAAATACCCCATGAAAAAGCACCTTTAAGGGTTTTTAAAAAACAAAAATAAGCACTTTATAGTGAAAACCAGGCTTTTTTATAATACACAGTGAAAATTCACTTGGCAAAGAAAAAAAATCTTATTTTCGATACAAGGAAAATTAAGCACTTTTAAAAATACCAAATGAAAAAAGCACCTTTAAGGTCTTTTAACAAACAAAAACACAGTGAAAATTCACTTGGCAAAGAAAAAAAATCTTATTTTCGATACAAGGAAAATTAAGCACTTTTAAAAATACCAAATGAAAAAAGCACCTTTAAGGGCTTTTAAAAAACAAAAACCGAAAATAAGCACTTTTTAAAAATGCTAAGCACCATGGTTTATATTGCCCGATGTTTCTTTTATAAATAAATGGATAAGTACCGTTTATAAAAACTAAAAATTTTATTTGTGGTACACAGGTGAAAATTGCTAAGTATTGATAGCTGAATTTTTTGAGATGAAAAGGGTGCAAAGTCTCAAGATTTTAAGTAAATAAAAAAGATGAACGATTAAACTTACATCTTTAGATAAAGAGAACAGTTGCTCTTTTCACTATACATATTGCATATGTTATAATGCTCATGCTATAGTCTTAAGTGTTATAATATGTATATATTTCTTCTTAGCTTGCAATTGCTATAATGCATAGTAAATAAAACCTTATTTATCTGAACTTTTCTCCAAACTGAGGTTGTTTTTTCCCTCATGCAATCGTTTAAATTAGAAAAAAAATATTTTACCTCAGTTAATACCAGATATCTGAAGATGTACAGACAATCAAAGAAAAAAAAAGAAGAGAATTCCCTCTTATTGCTGTAAATGCATTGATGTACATCGCAAAAAATGAATCTGAAACCCCAATACTTATTTTCATATTATTCAACTATTATGCTATCACAGTTGATTCATCAATCTGCAATGCAAATTTACCTTCTTTCAGAAATTTGATGAGTTTTGATTCAACGTCGGCGGCCATCAATGCGCTTGGAAACAGTATTATTGCACAGAGGAACAGTGATTTATCATATTTCCGCCTGCGATACCAAAACGTATGACAAAAACGATTCTGCACTTGTATTTTTTTTAATTTTTAACTATCATAATTCTTTGTCTACACCAGAACCATAGGTTTCATATATATTTTCAATTTCAATCTCAAATAGCTTCTATTATTAATATCATTAGCAATTTTTAACTTTTGAGTACTCGTCGCCCCCAGGTTGGAAACCACTGCTATAGATATTTTTCCTTTGGGAAGTAAAAAAAACTTTGGTTTTCTTTTCTGTAGAAATTTGCGAAAGATTTTTTTTTCTCTTCAGTATTACATTCGAAAGATGCTTTTCTCACACATCAGAGTGGGNAGAGTGGGAAAAGAATGCTTGTAATTATTCTGTTCTCATTTGAGAATAATGAAAAATAAAGAGTAATGAAGTAAAAAGATTTGGTTTTCTTTTCTGCAGAAATTTTCGTTCTATCTTTTATTCAATTATTACTATTGATATACACATAGCTCTTAAAAATCTAATATTTTAATACTGTATTATTTAATACAACTCAGGGTTGGGGTTTTGGANAAACCTGCTGATTACCTATAGTATAATTAAATTTCAATATAATGCATGGCAACTGTTGGTAGTTTTGAAGTTTATATATTTTCTTGGCAAACTTCAGTTTTTGACATTTTTGACAGGTTTTTGATGGTTTAAACCAGTATTATACCCTTTTCATGTCAAAAACCACTTTTTGACGTCAAAAACCCAACCCTGGTTATAATATATTTTTCTTCTTAGCTTGCTATTGCTATAATGCATAATAAATAAAACCTTATTTATCTGAACTTTTCTCCAAACTGAGGTTGTTTTTTCACTCAAGCAATCTTTTAAATTAGAAAAAAAAAATATTTTACCTCAGTTAATACCAGATATCTGAAGATGTACAGACAATAGAAGAAAAAAGAAGAGAATTCTCTCTTATTGCTGTAAATGCATTGATGCACATCGAAAAAATTAATCTGAAATCCCTATACTTATTTTTATATTATTCAACTATTATGCTTCAATTTCTTTATTTTTCCATCTAATTCAAAAAAAAAAAAAAANTGACAGAGCGAGACTCCATCTCAAAAAAAAAAAAAAAAAAAGGGAATATATCAAAAAAACAGAAAAAGTTTAGTCCTGTTGCAGTATAAGTTTTTTTTTCAGGACTACAGAGTTAATAAAAAAGAAAAGCATGGCTTCCCCTCCCCCTATAGGTTCAAAAAGAAAATGAAATTTCCTATAGTGAGAAAAATTAATTATTTCATTTTTAATTTTTGCACAAATTTAAGCTCTGATATGACACAAATCAGTCAACCTCCTTCCCACCTCCCAAAAGCATTGCATCAACACATAAATGCATTCTAAAAGAAAATAACAGATACAAGACATAGTGACAGTATCTTACACAGGGTGCATAGCCAATTTTCAACAAAAAATAAGTACTTTTTGAGCACTACATACATTAACAAAATGCAAAATAATTTTCAAAGACTTTACACAATCATGATAAAATAACTAGTTTCTGACAAAGAACTCTTTTTCTTGATTACATTAGCCATTATGAAACGATCAAGAGATTCTTCAGCTCGATTTCATAAGGTGGAAAATGAAGTCTGAAATTGAGAATATCTTGCAAAATGAAGCAGAGTTGCCCATGAGAATGCAATAATATCACCAAACCCAGCTCAGTAGACGCACATGCGAACTCGCAAACACATAAAATGATTGTTGCCTTCATATGCTATAGACCGACAGTAAGCCGAAATAAATTGTGGTTGAATGAATTTGTTAAAACATTGAATAGAACAACATGAAAAGCATGTTTTTGCATATTACATGGCAAAAATCGACATGGTAAAGAAAAAAAATCTCATTTTTGAAAAGGGAAAATTAAGCACTTTTTAAAAACACCTAATGAAGAAAGCATCTTTAAGGGCTTTTAAAAAAAGAAAATCTAAAATAAGCACAGTACATTTTAAAAACGCTACAGACCATGTTACACATATTTTTTTTTAATTTGATGCACTTTTCTAATATACACCTTTGCATTTCCAACAGTCAAAAAAGCCAAAAGTGATATACGAATTTTAATAACTTTTTTTTCATATAGGCTTATCAATGTATTAATACATAGCAGTTTGCAATATTTCATATTGAGAAAAATAAGAAAAGCTTAGTTATTATGAAACCCGTAAATAATCAGTTTTACAATAAAAAGCATTACTTGAATTTTATATAGGTGTCTCATTATAGAAATAATTTGTTATATTTTGTGTTTAAAAATAACTAAAGCTTTTTTTTATTATTAAAATAATTTAATATTTCATGAATTATGAAGTGCCTTATTAAAAAACAAATTTGCTATCAGACCTACAGTAATGTGATCTATTTTGAAATAATTTATAGCTATTAAATATTGATTATAAATTTTTTTATTTCTACAGCAGTGGCAGAATCGTGGCAACACAGCAACATTGTCGCAGAACGTTACAGACACAGAGTTCTTGCAGAGAGATTTTTCCTCTGGGAAGTAAAAAAACTTTGGTTTTCTTTTCTGTAGAAATTTGCGAAAGATTTTTCTTTTCTTCTGTATTACATTCGAAACATGTTTTTCTCGCGCATTAGAGTGGGAAAAAAATGCTTGTAATTATTCTGTTCTCATTTGAGAATAATGAAAAATAAAGAGTAATGAAGTAAAAAGATTTGGTTTTCTTTTCTACAGAAATTTTCTATTTTTTATGCAATTATTACTACTGACATACAAATAGCTCTTAAAATCAAATATTTTAATACTGTATTATTTATTACATACAACAACTGAATCTCAAAATGAAAACACGCAATT